AATTTTCTTAAGATGCCCAAGAAATGCTATGATTCAGATAATGAGGATGGAGTTGAATCTGCAGAGCATTGGAGATAGAATTGTAGAGATAAATGTAGCCTCTGCCATTAGATTAATGAGAGGTGGGGGAGCTAATGAATTAATCATTTCGGTTCAAAAAGTGGGAAGTAATGAACAATGTATGATAAAGAAAAGAGCATATATGAATACCTTATGTTCTAATGTTATAAAGTATGATGTTATTACAGAGTGTATTGCTGTGCCCAAGAGACAATTCACACCACCATGGGAGGATTGTAATGTAGATGTAGTAATTACTCCCTTGCAAAAGAAAAAATGTATGACATAGGAGAGCTGAGGGCAACATATGATTGTATAATTAGAAAATTGCCTACAGAAAACACTCTACATGTATATTGTGATGGGTCAGTAGCTAGGGTTGGGAAGGCAGGATGTGGAGTCTTGATCAGGGAGTACACTGACATCGGCACTGTAGATACTGTTATTGGACGCCGCTTAACTGACAACGTCTCTTCAACGCAGGCTGAACTCCAAGGTGTATTAGCAGGATTACAGGAAATAATCAAATGTGGTAAAAATGCTTGCTTCTTTATTGACAGCAGAGGAGCGTTAGAGTCTTTAAATAGCAGGCACCCAGTATACCAGAATATTGTGATGATAGAGTATAGACAGAATGTTAATAAATTAGAAAAAACTGGGTATAAAGTAAGATTCATGTGGAACCCTTCACATGTGGGAATACTGTTGAATGAGGTAGTTAATGAGATAGCAAAGAGAGCCACAGAAAAATGGGTGCTTGTTTAGACCAGTGGGTGCTTGTTCAGACCAGTGGGTGCTTGTTCAGACCAGTGGGTGCTTGTTCAGACCAGTTGGTGCTTGTTCAGACCAGTTGGTGTTTGTTCAGACCAGTGGGTGCTTGGTCAGACCAGTGGGTGCTTGTTCAGACCAGTGGATGCTTGTTCAGACAAGTGGGTGCTTGTTCAGACCAGTCGGTGCTTTTTCAGACCAGTTGGTGTTTGTTCAGACCAGTGGGTGCTTGTTCAGACCAGTTGGTGTTTGTTCAGACCAGTGGGTGCTTGTTCAGACCAGTTGGTGTTTGTTCAGACCAGTGGTTGCTTGGTCAGACCAGTGGGTGCTTGTTCAGACCAGTGGGTGCTTGTTTAGACCAGTGGGTGCTTGTTCAGACCAGTGGGTGCTTGTTCAGACCAGTTGGTGTTTGTTTAGACCAGTGGGTGCTTGGTCAGACCAGTGGGTGCTTGGTCAGACCAGTGGGTGCTTGTTCAGACCAGTGGGTGCTTGTTCAGACCAGTGGGTGCTTGTTCAGACCAGTGGGTGCTTGTTCAGACCAGTGGGGGCTTGTTCAGACCAGTGGGTGCTTGTTCAGACCAGTGGGGGCTTGTTCAGACCTGTGGGGGCTTGTTCAGACCAGTGGGTGCGTGTTCAGACCAGTGGGGGCTTGTTCAAACCAGTGGGGGCTTGTTCAGACCAGTGGGGGCTTGTTCAGACCAGTGGGTGCTTGTTCAGACCAGTGGGGGCTTGTTCAGACCAGTGGGGGCTTGTTCAGACCAGTGGGGGCTTGTTCAGACCAGTGGGAGTTTGTTCAGACCAGTGGGAGTTTGTTCAGACCAGTGGGTGCTTGTGAATCTCCTCCCTACTCTCGTCTTGTCAACTCAATGAAAGTCTTCCCTTACTTAAACTAACGTCATATAATGTTAGTCTCTTCCAAATGACTGACGAAAGTTCATTCATCAAGAAGAGTTAAACTTGTTGTTGTTGTTTAAGATTCGCTACTTGGAACAAAAAGTTCCAAGTAGCACGGGCTATGGTGAGCCCGTAGTGGACTTACCTGGCACAGGAGCGGGGAAGTTAAACTGCACAAAATCACAATTATTCAAAATGACTGAGTACATGCAGTTAATCTATTCAACATTATACCATTGTATGTGAAGTTTTCACGTTAATATTCGTTGCAGTGTGTGGCTACTACATGAATAATATACGTAATTATATGTTCGAGGTGTTTTAAGAGCTAAATGAACTGCTGGAAGGCTTGGTCTCGAGTTGACAATCGCCGATGACGTAAGTTGCCATCTACCACTTTGCAAGAAAGTCTTAAAAGAATTTTGGGCGTTTTCACGCTTAAAGTATATCGAAACAAGTGGTAAATATTTAGATAAACCCTCAAATGATCATGAAATGACTACATTAGTAACGATTTTGAGGGTAAATTGTAACGGCGACCAGACGTATCTGGTAACCTCTCCCTCACTCCGCCCTCCGCCCTTCGACAACTATCACCACACACTCAATGCTCCTCCTTCCTCATCTAACGTCAAATTGGCGCCAGATTACCAAAAGGAACATGCTACCAAACCTCAATCAACTAGATAATTAACCTCATTAAACATTAAACTTCGGTATAAAAAGTCGTAGTTTCAAACTGCGAATACGTGCAGAGAGCCAGAATTTGGCTCCAAAATGTGGCTCAGGCGTTGAATTTGGAATGCTTGGGTTATTTTGAAAACTGGAGGGGGGGGGGGGTAAAATGTGACCCATCGCCGCTTTCAGTAATTGGCATATTTTCGGGTTTTCTGGGTGGCTGAGTTTAGTGCCCTTTTATATATATATCATAATGCCAACAAGCCTGAATGGTCCCCAGGACTATACGCGACTGTGAGTTTGGGGTGTGAGTTTTCAGTCATATATCATAATCAATGATGTTCATAGATTTATACCTTCTCCAGAGGGTTTGCTTAGTTATCAAAGCTCATTAAACTATATGTTTCGTCCATCTAGTTCCCTT